CCTTGCTGGAAAAAGAAACTCTGAAGAAGATTCTGGGTGTCCTCTACGAGACACAGATGAGCACAGTGACTTCTCAGGTAGGGAGGGCAGGACACACACCACAGCGGGATTTGCATGGCTTCATATCTTGGGGGTTTAAAAGTTAGTCATGAATGATGCGTTGCCTTTCTGAATAAAAAGGCTCCTTATTTTATGTAACTATAAAGTGAAGCTTGAATGTTCTTCTATATGCATATCCTACATTACATATAAAAGAATACTAAGTCATCCATTTCCACTTACCTATTCAAGAAAATACCAACTATTTATTCTTAAGTGAATTGAACAGAAGTAATACTGAATGGAGAACTATAAATAATGCAGTGGAAAACAAAATGGAAAAACCACAAAGGCATCCCTCCCAAGATGACAGGTCTGCCATTGACCAGCTCCTCTCTCCTGCCCTCACCTGCTGTGCAGGCCTGCGTCTCTTCACTGCCGGGTGGAGAGAGAGCCAGAACACAAGCTCTCTTCCATCTCAGGAAAGATTAGGGATGTGGCCTAGGACATGGCCTTCTTTCAGCATTTTCAGTGGCTGTAATTTATAATTAACTCAGCATCTGTGCTGTGGTAAGTTCATGGTTTCTAACAGTCCACAGCTTAACTGATTAAGAAGAGAATATGGTGTCTGTCAATGTCATTTTTATAATGACCCCTAGAAGTGAAATTTCCAGGTTAAATGTATATAAGATGAAATTGAGGGTCACAGATTTTACACTTGAAGCCTCAGCATAGAGTTAGAGCCTGGTAGAGGAAGACTGTGTCTGCTCAGATCCATGTGGAGATCTAAAGTCAGAGAGATGGTCCAGGCAGAGGCGCAGGACACAATGGCACCTAGCAGGAACCATGGATAAAAAAGGCCCAGGTCAAGGCCACCTCATCCTTGAGTAAGTTCTCAGGAAAGCATCACACACTGCATTCTGGCCAGCAGAGTGCTGGAATGTTTCCAGAGCTCCTCCCTACATGCCTGAGGCCCCCTGTCTCACTCAGGGGAGCTCTGTATGAGAAGGTCAGTCTGTTACAGAGCCCAACCTGACTGAATGTTTTCCACCCAGATGCAGATCTGAACTGCCACATGTGGACTCACCATAGCTATGGAGCAGGACAGATGTTTACAGGGAGCAGGTCAGGAGATGGGGACACTGCAGGCAGGTCAGGGTATGAAGCCTTAAATAAGAGACCAGGCACTCACCAGGCCCAGTTTCCTCCAGCCGTAACCACATCCTGCAAGAATGTGTATTAAATGTGAGTAACTGAAAGGAGTTACTCACAAAACTATATATTATAGAGATAGCTTGAAGATACAAAAGTAAATGGTAGCATCCGTAAGTAAAATGAGATGTGACCCTTAATGGATATGTGGTGTCCATTGATGTCCCCAAACCACATGCATCAGAAGGAAATAGTCTGATGAACAGAGCAATAAGGAGCACAGGCAACGGGTAAACATCACAGCTGCTTAATAACAACAACAAAGCTGGGATACAGTACGTGCACTGGTGAATTTTATCCAGTATATAATAAAGAATACTGATTGTTTTTCAATTCTTCAATCAAGTTGAAGGAAAAACCACCACCAAATTCTTTTATGTGACAAAATAATTGTGAGAATGAAGCCAGATAATAATGTGTTAAGAATAATATAAATGAAAACACTCTGTTGGCTAATATTCCTACCAAACATACAGAAACGTGTTCAGCTTTATGTTTGCCACGTTAACTCACCAGCATATTCAAAATTAACCAACATGATCAACACTGGACTCAATCTCAGTGGTGTAAGAATGGTCCCTCTCTCACAAACTATCTGTTTCCACTGGTTTTAACATGTTGTATCTAACTATATTTTACTATATGCAATAGTATAAAGAAAATTTTTTATAGGCAAGGAGATAATATAGAAATCATTGTTCGTTTTCTGTTAACTGGTTCTAAATACCCTGTAATTCTTTCATTCTCTTGAATGGCTTCACACTGTCTTGATATGCTTGATGCTATAGCATACAAAGTTATACTCAAATAATTCAAGGAATGAGGCACTATGGTGACTACTATTATGTTAGATTATCTGGGAGTGAAATACAATGATGCTTAAATTGTTCCATTCTGACAAGTGTTGTTCTATTACAATGTCCTCTTTTATCTAAATTTCCATCCTTTTTTAAAAATTAAACTATTTTTATTTTTTTTTCAATTAAGGGAAAACTAAATTAAAAACTATTGGCATATATTATAGTAACCATTTGTTTTCCTATTAACCTGATTTGAACCCCAGTATTGCTCTCCCCATCTTGTTCTGTCGGATTTTACTATATTCTATGTGTTTGATAGTATCAAGTTTGAGGGTATAGGCAACCACTTTGAAGGCAATAAGATTGACTATGATACCATTATAGTTTCACTATTATCTTCTTTTGAGATATTGTAAGGTCTCCAGTGTAGGTTTTATTGGTCTTGTTCGGTACTGTTTTGATCCATTCTATTATAGGCAACTCTTTTTAAAAATAGCAAGAGGAACAATGGTAAGTATTTTTGATCATCTGATACTCTATTTTTGCATCATGTCCTATGCCCACCCTTCTGTTCTAACTGACTCTGTTTTATTTAGTCATGTTAGGATTTATTCTCTTCAAAAAAATGTAATAAGAACTGTGGGAGTAAAAAAACTCAAAAAGTGTAATTGTTATTGTAATAAACAGGAAAGGAAGGTGGTGTAAGAGATATAACTGCATGCTTGAGTGTGTAGGATGGAAAACCATATTACTGAGCTTTTGTTGGATCATTGAACAGAACTTTCTGCAATCTCACTGTATGAATGTCCACTTTATATGCTTTAATTTTATAATTTGGACAACTTTTTCTAAGATGACAAGATGTAACCTATTAACTAGTGATTTCTTATTGAATTTTTTCTTGAAATTCTGTATTACTTGTACCCTTTTACTGCTTTGTTTTTTATTTCCTATCTTTGTTCTCTTTAATTAAAAATTAATCAAACCTGGAATGGATATCTTTTATTTATTTATTTATTTATTTATTTGGCACTGGAGACCAAACTCATGACCTCACACTTGCCAGGCAGGTGCTTAAGCCACTGAGCTAAATCCCCAGCCCACCAATGGATATCTTTTACATCTTGTCATCTTTACAGTAGTTGCCTCTTCTCTTGAACTTGATACTAGCAAGCATACCAAAGGTGAATAAAATCAGTCAAGGCCAAATAACATTCAAACAAACCAGCTTCAAAGAAGATCAGTCATAGAAGACAATGTAAGTAATATAGGGTTTCAGTTTTAGTTAATAGAAAATTAAGGATAGTTACCATGGTATAACCTGCTATTTTGGGGTTATCTCTCTGTGCCCTCAAATCTAATGTGTGTAGACAGACCAGAACAAGATATAACCAAACAAAATAGAGCAACAAGACTACTGTATATTTTAAATCCTGATACACTTTTATCAATGTCCTCTGCCTTCCTTTTTTAGAAAATTCCTCACCTTTCTCCTTCTCAGGATACTATTATTCACTGTTCAGTGATATTAGTCTAGTCTCTTATGTTAAATTTCAGCATACATAAAGATAATGACAGCTACTATGAAGAGAATAAGAGACATTATGGTAGTCATTACCGATTTCCCCAAAATCAGTCTTGAAGACCGAAAAAGCCTGCATCACCCTGTAACTATTTGATTAGTTCTATAATGTTTGGTATATATTCAATGTGTGTGAAGATGGGAACAACTATTTGGAAGAAAACTAGAGACAGTAACATAGACAGTGAACATCTACAGTGGACTTGCTTTGAAATCTGTGTTTCCTTATGAACTGTTCTGTTCTGTTTTGTCATGTTTAATCTTACCCTCTTTAAGAACAAAAAGTGTGTAGGACAGATAAGCATATTAACAACTTTTTGTTGGATCATTGAGGTGAACTGTTGACAGTGTCATTATTTGAATATCACTTTGTATGCTTTAATTTTGTTACTTGAACAACTACTTCTAGGATGACAATATGAAACTAATCAACTAGTGATTTCTTATGGTTTATTTTTCTGAAATTCTGTATTATTTCTACACGTTTTCTCTTTTCTCTTTAAATAAACAACATTACAATTCACCAAAAAATATAAAATTTAAGTTTTACAGAAAAATATTAAGTACATAGACACTATCCATACTTGAAAGTGAAAAGCCCATTTCAGTTTAGCATGTTTAATTAAAGATGCCATGTTGAAACACAAAGACACTTTAAAAAATCTAGAGAGGTACAAGTGATTAACTGAGAACCATACAACATGTGCACCTAAGGTGAGCTCCACCTCATGTTTGTCATTTCTGGAATATTTGTGAAGATATATTGACATCTAACTTCTGTATTGATTATTTCTTCAGGTCTCCCTGTGATTTTTAAAGTAAATTTAGATCTAAACAGTCTGAACAGTGACACTTTTTCTATGTATTTAACAAGAAACATGGATTGCCATATTTCTCACATTGTTAATCCACATAGGATATCTGCCCAGTGAGCTTTTTCAGATATGTAACACTGATCAAGTATGCTGAGAGTATTCCCATAACACATAAGATTTATCTCTTGTGTGAGTTTTTTCATGTATTTCACTTATAATCTGGCTGCTGAAAGTGTCTCCACTTGCTTACATAGCCAGTGGTTTTTCCCAGTGTGAATTCTTTCATGTGTTTTACAGTGACTGTATGTGGTAAAAGCTTTGCCACATTGTTATATAAATAGGGTTTCTCACCAATGTGAAGTCATGGATGTATTTTACAATATCCATGTGTGGTGAAAGCTTTCCCACATTCTTCATGTACACAGGGTTTCTCAACAGTCTAAATTTTATAATGTATTGCACGATGAGCATTTCTGCTGAAACCTACCCCACATTCCTTACATATATATGTTTTCTGCCCAGTGTGAAGATTTTCATACATTATGCAATATATACGTGTGCTCAAACCATTCTCATGATTCTTATATACACTGGTTTTATCTTGAGTGTGAACTTTCATGTTGCTTACAATGTCCATGTTGGGTAAAAACTTTCCCACATTGCTTACATACATATGGTTTCTCTCCAGTGTGAATTCTTTCATGTTGCTTACAATGTCCAGAGTTGGTAAAACCATTCCCATATTGCTTACATACATAGGGTTTGTCTCCAGTGTGAATTCTTTCATGTTTCTTACAATCTCCCCATGTGCTAAAAGCTTTCCCACATTGCTTACATACATAGGGTTTCTCTCCAGTGTGAATACTTTCATGTTTCTTACAATCTCCCCATGTGCTAAAAGCTTTCCCACACTGCTTACATCCATATGGTTTCTCTCCAGTGTGAATTCTTTCATGAACCTTAAAATATGCACGTGTTTTAAAAGCTTTCCCACATTGCTTACACACATATGGTTTCTCTCCAGTGTGAATTCTTTCATGAACATTAAAATATGCACGTGTTTTAAAAGCTCTCCCACATTGCTTACACACATATGGGGTCTCTCCTGTGTGAATTCTTTCATGTTCCTTACAATTTGTATGACTGGTAAAAGCTTTCCCACATTGCTTACATACATACGGTTTCTCTCCAGTGTGAATTCTTTCATGTTTCTTACAATCTCCCTGTGTTTTAAAAGCTTTCCCACATTGCTTACATACATATGGTTTCTCTCCAGTGTGAATTCTTTCATGTTTCTTACAATATCCATGTGTGGTAAAAGCTTTCCCACATTGCTTACATACATATGGTTTCTCTCCAGTGTGAATTCTTTCATGTTCCTTAAAATGTCCAACTTGGGTGAAACCTTTTCCACATTGCTTACACACATAGGGTTTCTCTCCAGTGTGAACATTTTCATGTATTTGAAAATGAATTTTCCTGCTAAAAGCTTTCCCACATTTCTTACATATATGCGATTTCTGCCCAGTGTGAATTTTTTCATGGATTACACAATAAGTACATGTGCTGAAAGCTTTCTCACAGTGCTTACATTCATAACGTTTTTCTCCAGAGTGAAGTCTTTCATGTACTTGACAATATGTACGTGCTGTAAAAGCTTTCCCACACTGATCACATATGTAGGGTCTCTTTCCTCTGTGAATTCTTTCATGTTTCTTACAAATTCCATGTGTGGTAAAACCTTTCCCGCATTGCTTGCATACATAGGGTTTCCCTCCACTGCAATATTTTTCATGAATCTGAACATTGTCATGTGTTTCTGTTTCTTTCACATTCACATTACCTTCTTCAGTACCAAGGAAGACTTCTTTACACTGATTCCAAGATGTATGTACATAGGATTTCCCTAGCTTTCTGTAAAGAAACAAATCACATATAAGATTTATAACCATATTACTAAGTTTTTGCAGTCTCGCTGTTTGAATCCCCACTTCATATGTTTCACTTTTGTATTTCATAACTATTTCCATGAGCAGCATCTGTAATCATCATCTTGCGATTTCTTACTGTTTATTTTCACTTTGAAAGTAGCATTATTTCTACTTATTTTGTTTTGTTTAGTCTTTCCTTATATAAATTTTAAAAAAGAAAAATTCACAGTGAAATGGGTCTCTGTTTAATGACTGCATTAATGTCAAGTTCTGTTTTTAATGCCTAAGAAATTCTGACCATGAAGCAACAGAATGGCCTTGTAAGATATGTTGAAAACAACCTTTCCCAAAAGACTGGCACACATTAAAAATCTTAAAAGTTGGTACTTTGAAATGCAGAATCTTTAGCTTCACTTTGGGTATGGGCACATATGTGTATCACATACGGATTATTCTGATATGTTTCCCCATTCCAATATCCCTTCTGTCCTTAACCTGTAGTTCCCTTTTCCATATGTTCAGTCTTACTTTTATCTATAAACTCTCTTTCATTTCATTCCACAATTTGTATTTTGGTGTCTCATCTAAAAGAAACCCTGTGACCTTTTAGGTTTTATAGCTGAGCTATTTCACTGAATTGATGGGTGAAAGACCCATCTATTTCTTATGGCAAATGACATTATATTATTTATTTTTGACATTATATAACACATTTTTTTCTTTTCTGGCTGGGAATTAACAACAGGTATTAGCATAAAATCTGTAGCTTTTTAAAAATCTATTTTAAGAGATTTTCACTGATCATTAAGCTGTGAAGTTTGAACTTGAATTTGCCATTCTGCAAAATCCGATTCCTAGTGTGCTGGGTTTACAGAAATGCATAATCACAGAGAGTCTATTAACATTTTCCTTCTCCACAAATCCAGTGATAGATAGCTAAGCCTCACAGCCTGATCCGTTATAACTTGATCTGCTTTGTATATGAATAAATATGTATCAGTATTTTATGCAGATTTGAGATTTTTAAAATATCCAGGATAAGTATGAGGGGATCAATTTCTAGAGACAACTGCACATTGATATTCAAAACGAGTGCACTCACATTCCACCATCCTACTAAGAATATTAATCAGAATGGCTGATTCTCTAGAGAATGGCTTGGAAACATGAGCACTCAGTTTTATTTCAAATTCTATTGCAAACTTAGCAATTGTTAGATAATGAATGTGTTATATTCACATGTAGACATGGGTAGAAAAACTGAAGGCAGAATGTAATAATTCAAAATGTATTCTTTTCGTACTCATCTATATGCAATGTCATACATTTTCATGATTTAATTCCCGCATATATACACCAGCTTATACATTTTCGGAGAATATTACTGACATTAAATTGAATGGTGCCTCATTTCTTTGGTCATTTTTCTGCTGAATCACTAATTACTCATTCCTCTACTTGTGTGTATGAATTACCTTAAGTAGCTCCAGTAAATTTTGCCTTCTTTTTCAGCTTCCTGGATATCCCCGAGTCCACCTGAATTGTAGACATAGAAATACCAGGACTCTTTAGAGTAATACATACAAATTAATAGGTTTTGTTTAGATTTATGATATAATGTGTCCAGGTGTGAGATATTTTTTAAAATGTTTTCATATTCTTTTTCATGAAACAGCACTAATGAGCAACAAACAATATTCTGACAGCATGAGTGCCAAAAACATTTCATCCTTACCTATCAGAGTCATGTTCCTAAAGGTTTCACCCATCACATCTCTGTAGAGCTTCTTTTGGGATGCACTCAGCAAAGTCCACTCCTCGTTGCTGAAGTTCACAGCCACATCCTCAAAGGTCACCAACTCCTAAAGGATCATACATATATTTCTCAATGGAAGGTTGAGACCCCAGGTTTGGGATATCTTAAATTCTCTCCTAGAAATCTGAATCAAAAGCAAAGTGTGGTGGTGCATATCTATAATCCCAGCACTCAAAAGACTGAGACAGGATGGCATCAATGAGGTCAGGGCAATTCTAGGCTCCACAGGGTGTTCAAATCCATCTGATATACATAAAGAGAGCTTGTCTCAATAAAACAAAACTAAACTCAACAACTAAAACCAAACAAAACAGCTGAATGAAGACTGATTTTTTCAAATTTTAATCCATGTCTTGGTCAGTAATTTTGTGTATATACACATTTTTGAAGACAGCAAATTTGATGCTAGATTGCAACTCACTGCAAATGTAACAGCCACATAGGAACACTGATTCTTGTGCTGAATCATGGCAAGATTAATCGTGCACTGTCTCTAAAGCAGAGCTCACAGTAAGAAGCCTGCAGGACCAGCAACCACAAAGCACAGAGGTAGATAAATATCCCACCAATTGACTGGAAAGCCAAGCAAGCACCTTCCCTCCCAGGTCAGTGGTGGTGGTTTGGCAAATTGAAGCCCTTCCAAGGGGAAAACAAGCAGCAGCATGGACTGATGATGTCCATGGCCTTGCAAAGCCTCCCCTTGCCCTCACCACCTGCTGCCCCTCCTCAAAGGAGGTCGGAGTATGGAGCACTACAGTGTGTGGCTGAGGTAAACATGAGTAAAACTTGCTATGAATCCTCCTTTTTTGGACACATGGGTGTTATAAAATGAAATATTTCATATCCCTCAAGTAAAATTATTATGGGCATTATGGGAACATCTCCATGCTCCTTAGTGATAATGAAATGAAGCTAACATAAGTCCAGAAAAGATAGTCAAAATAAAATTTGACAAATCTCTAAATGAAGAAACTGTGCGCCTCATCCTCAAGGGAAAGAATCTTTTGGAGGGAAAAGTCTAATAACACACACATTTTGCTAGTTTTTTAACTTGCTGTTTCTAAGGAGGACACAGATTAGCTCACAATAAAAACAAAGGAGGCATCAGAGGGGGAGCTTCAACTGTGGACCCCAGCATATGACCTCACTTCCTTGGTGATATGCCCCAACAGAACTCTGAATACTCCGGTCACCATGCACTGTGGTCTGATGATAGTTGGCCTTCATAGATGGCTGGCTCGAAAGAGTGAACAAGGAACGTGCTATGCTGCTTTCCCAGGGCTAGTGGCCCCAGCATCAGGACCCCGTGTCAGGGAACCACGTGGAAACATATGGAGAGGATGGTTCACTTGGTCCAGATGCTTCAGGAAGCTCAACTGGAAACACCAAGCTGTCAGCAGCTCAAGCCAGGACTCATTGGTACACAAGAGGTGCCCAGAGGCACCCAGAGACAAGAGGAAGTGCAGAACACATATCCCTAGGCTCAACCACCAGCCACTCAGAGGCAATGTGTCCAGGACTAGTTCAGATACAGAGAAGTTGTGTTCTCACCTGAGCAGCCCCATGAGACTTGGTCCCCTGTGTATTCAAGTCCTGGCCATGTGCAAGCACCTCAGTCTCGGTTTACAACACTGAACTGTGGGGAGCTGAGTCGATCCAGAGTGCAGGGTCACTGAGGATGTAACAGGGACTCCATGGCAAGGGATTTGCTGTGGCATTGGCCCTATGCAGACCTGCTAAGGTTGCTGTCCTGATTCCCAGGGATGACCTTCCACCCACCTCACTGACACACACACATGGGGAAAACTGTTCTATTCTTTGGAAAGAAGATTGGAGAGTCACTCTAGAGGTTTCCAGGTATGCTCAGGGTAGGAATTCTTAGGAATGGCAAAGTGTCCATGGCCCACAGGTATCACTGGAACGTGGGTGGGTGTCATCAAGCCAAAATACACATGAAGACATCCTGTGTGCAGCCACTTTTTTGAGTATTGTCCATGATCTTGTAAGCAGAACAGGTGCAACCACTGCCCTTTTGACTTTTGATGTTCTTTGAAGGCCACAGCATCAGAATTGGCAGCAGAACAGATATTGTTCACCTCAAGGAAGTCTTTCTGTGTCCAAGGCCAACCTTAGAAGTGGTTACAGACCATGTAAGGAGGAGTTCTACAGAGACCAAGAAAACTGGGCAGATCTTTGCCTGAACTAGACACTGCAGAAAGGCGTGATAGACATTGATGACTCCTCACTTCTCAGATATTCATGGAGCACCAGCCCTGAGCCCTTGAGTGCAAAGATATGGCAGATATCAGTCTTTGCCTTTGTTGAGCTGACCTGCAGTGGGGAAGGGCAGGGAGAAACTGTCATGCTTCCCTAAAGAAGGGACTGGTGTCATACCCATAAGCAAGGACTGCCTCCCATGGAGCATTCTGTCAGCCTCTCAGGGATCCCAAGGCCTGCACTGCCACACTGTAGGTGGGAGAGGGTGGGAGTAGACACTGAACTTGCTGGGCTAGAGACCCATGTGCTTCTCCCTAAGGTAACCTGTATAGGTAATTTTAGAAGAGAGGCCAGACCTCTCGCTTTGCTACCTTCCTGTTTGCTCCAGGTCCGCATCTTCTGTCCTTGACTCCTCACTGGAGCTGAACTCCAAGGTGGCTTCCCAGGCTAAGCTTCTCATGGACCAGCTTGAGTTTCTTAAGTCCCTGGTGCCTAAGTCACAGGGTAAGGAGCCCTGGGATGTGTGTTGTGACTTTGAGAGGAGGAATGTGCTAGGGAACTCAGCAATGTGCCCAGATGATGGGAGACACAGGAACATGATCACCTCAGCCGTCAATGTGGGGATGCAGTTTGAGAGGCTTTTATGGGGCTGTATTCATGCACACAGCTGCCTCTGACAGGCAGTGGGAAGGTTTGGCCCTGAGAAGTCCCTGAAAAGTCAGTGATGTTTCCTTCCCCTGCAACTGCAGAAGCAATTCCAGTGCATTCTGAATTTGCACCCGCAGTACTCATGCCAGCTCCACCTACAGATCTCTCCCCAGCTGTGGCCTCACAGCAAGAGCAGGCACATGTTATCCTTTCTTCACCAGCTGCAGAGCTGGATCTCCTGGTGGCTCCCCAGCAGGAGTCATCTCTTGACCTCTACCTGTAGGCAGCTCTTGACGCACACCTGCCATTCCCCTTTCTGCCAGATTTTCATATCATTCTATTTATTATTATTCTATTCTGGGATGCGAGTGATAGAATTATTGTAAATGAAATTTAAGGGTTTATTCTTGTTTCAGTTGACGAGTTTGGTATGATTTAGTGCATTCTCCATATTGTTAAACCTTCACCAGTGTCCTCTTGCAGAACATTTTCATCAACTCACTACGCAAATATATTTTCTTTTATTTTCCTTCCTACTAGATCCTGGCCCACACTCATCCTATGTCCTTGTAATTTACCTTTCCTACCTTTTCCACATCACAGCAGTTGTGTTTCTCCTCTGCCTTACCCTGATGTAAGTAACTGTTTATTCTCGCCTTGTGTGAGAAGGGAAAATCCAGACAGATTGCATTAATTTGTCATGCATGTATTCATGGACTCTTGGTAGGGCATTGTAAAAGAATTCAGGAATTCTTTGTAATTCTTAGGATTCTTTGTTTTGTTAATTATGTTCCTGGCCTTATAGCCATATACACATCAAAACTGCTCCATGTTTAATTACATGTAGGTCATTTCATATCCATTTCATATGAATGAGACTAACAAACTTTCTTTTGTTACAGAGCAGCACCATGGGAGTGTCACACCCATGTTTATTCTTTAGATATTTCCAATGATAAATTATTGATTTTAATTTATGAGTGTTTAACATGAAAACAATCACAAATGTAAAGTGTTGTAGTTGTAATACAACCATTAAAATGTGAGGCACTGTGTGTTCCAAGGAAAATCTCTAACCCTGTATAGAAAGTGCAGTGTAACAGGCAGCATGTCCATTGAATTCCCCTGTGGTTTATTTCCATGCAATATCATGAATATGGCTGCCTATGTCCCCGTCTCTGGAAAGAGTAAATTTACAGAAAGTCAGTCTAAGCATGTCACCACCTATAAGTTTTAGTTCTTACCCAGTAGTTCAAAGAACAAAACACATGAACACAGCCCAATTAAGAATGGGCTGTGTTCATAAGAAAAGAAACATAATGGTCAAACAGCAGAGGCATCAAGTCCAAGGTAGTAAAAACCAGCCCAAAACTCGTATCCACCAGGCTCCTGGCCAGACTGGGGTAGATGGTGGGGACCCAAGAGCTCTCCATAACTCCTCAGGCCTGGGGTGCAGTCTTCAATCACAGATCTGCTGTGTCATGGTGTAAACCCCTGTAGCCTTCACAGAGGCCAGCTGATTGGTTGCTCCAATGTATAAATGCTCCAGGCTGAAGTTATTCCCCCAAGTCCTGGCTGCACTTTGCTGCCATTGGGCCTGGGCAGCAGGAGAGTTTGGATCACTGATTCAGCAGCCACTAGGTTTCCCACAAAGAAATAGCTGAGCATGTGTGTGCCCCAGTATGATCTAAGGTGTAGGTCCTGAATTTGATGGATGATAGAAAGTTTTCCCATGGTCTTTGAACCAAGTAGGCCTATAATGTGTCACAGACTTTGGGCAAGGCATCAGTGACAGTGAGTGGTGAGTTCTAAGTCCAGGCCTTGCCCTACCCAACGGACTGCATGTGACAATGGCAATGTGAGGTAACCCGAAATGATGGCCTTAGTAGGGATGGTATCAAATTACAGGCATGTGTAGATAGGGACAGTGCCCAGGTGAAGAGAACCCCATGTGTCCCTCTAGTGTCTCACACCCAAGCATGCTAGAATCTCTACAGTAAAGGACTATGTGTGTTATTCCATTCCCAATTTACATTTCAGAACCAGTGCCCAGAGAGGGACAATGCCAGGCCCAAGGCACAGGACATGGGCAGAGTAAAGAGGATGGGGGAGAAGCCCAAAAGAGAAAAACCTCTTAGCACAAGACCCATCCCACTCCCATAGGCATTAGAAAAGCAGCCCCCAGGCTCCTGGGACCTGAGCCTAAACATATGGGACTGATTTCAAGCAGCATCCCAAGGGATATACACACAAATGCACACAAACACACACACACAACCCCCCCACACACACACACGAACACATAGTGATTCCATGGGCACCCACTGGGTAGCTCAAAGGAAAAGTGATATGACTCATTCAATCTACATGCCTCAAATTCCTCACCTTATTTCTGGGCTGAACTAGGCTGGCAGCAACACAGAACAGGACAATATGTCACTGGCCACCCAGAAAATGGAAGGCTGGAAGAGAGGGACAAATTACTGCAGAATGTAGTGGAAGAGAAGACCCAGAGCTATATCCCAATAAAGCAAGAGCACACAGAGGTCAAAGTCACTACATGGGGGCATCTGAACAGCCTCACTGAGATGGAACTGATGCCTAAACCTGAGACATGCAGGCCCTAATGCTGTACAGAGTTGAGTCTGTGTGGCAGAATAGAGGACCAACCATTTAGAGATTCAAAGTCAATTTTTTTTAGTCAAGAAAGAGATGAGAAGGGAGAACAGAAGGCCTGGCGAGAATAAGGGAGGGGAGGAGTTGGCGAGGGACCGGGTGAGGGCAGAACCTCACATCTGCTATAGTGCACCAGTTGCCACTGATGATTGCATGTCTGCAAACTGAGGTACAACATGTAAACTTCAGTTCTCTCAGTTTCTATGGGTCAGGCATTCAGGAGGTGCTGCTAGGGGATCCACCATAGTTTCTCCTGACCAGGCTGAAGGCTCAGTGGAAACACTGCTGTGGCAGAATCTGTTCTCAGGCTCTCTCTCTTGCTAACAGGCAGGAACTCAGTTAGGATGGAGGTCTGAGGTCTCCTCTGTTAACCTTTTTCTCTGCAAAGAGTCAGCCTCTCCTTAAGGAGAATCCAGAGATAGTCAGAGATTTAGAGAGGAAGACAGAATGAAACAGAAATGAAGGAAGGAAGGAAGGAAGGAAGGAAGGAAGGAAGGAAGGAAGGAAGGAAGGAGGGAGAGAGCAGGAGGTTGGTCACAGTCATTTTATGTGTGAACCTTGATAGTCACATCCCATTATGTCTGCCATGTTCTGTTATTAAGAACAAGTAAGGAATTGGGGAGAGAGCTCAGGATAGAGCACTTGCCTACCATGCCTGAGGACCTGGGCTCAGTTTCACCCTGGCTAATACAAACCAGAACAAACCAAGCTCAAGGAATGAGCTACTCAGGAGCTGGCCATCAGAAGGTGAGCTGTCATCAGTTGAGCACCCTTGCCATGGGTGTGGTGACTCACTCAGGTGTGAATGTAGGCACAGTGCTGATAGATTTTGAGGGTGCATCTACATCAATAGTGCTTGCTTAGCCTGTGTGAAGTCCTGACTTGAGGCCACAACACCAATACATAGAAGAAATTGAGATGCTTAGGGAACATAATGATGGCTGATCTAATGAACTTCTGTCCCCTCATGATGCCACCAGGGAAACATGTGCAGGAGGTGAGTGTAATCTCCACCACCATACAG